TTACAGTAATAATGGTCTGTTATCTACTGGGATATTTTAATGAATTTGTCGTTTCAAACGCGAACAAAAAAAAACTAGATGGTATTCGAGTTTCGACTCGAATACGAAATGCAGTGCGAAGAACACGTATCGACAATCTGAAAAACGAATTTCGAATTGAAATCGAATAATCGCTCTAAATACTATCGGAATTCGTTCTCACATACTACGGCAAGGATTTCAGATAACTGACGGTGTTTCAAAGTTAGCAATAATCGATAAAAATACATTTTGAAGAAAATAACTGATCTAACCTAGGTCTGATATTAAAGGCATCTATTCTAAAATTTATTACTACAGAAATTCTATCAAAGCATACCGACAGACTTCTAGAAAGCAATGTGCAGTGATAAATTATGTGGATTATTCATTATTTGCTATCAGCTATATTCACAATTGTTTGAATATGAGCAAAGTGTGTAACGCCTAAATTTGTTTCAATTTTTCGACTTTCAAAACGAAAATGCAGAAATTGTGTCATACTTGTCGTTTGGGGACACTGTTCATAAGAAAATGAAACTGGTGCACAACAATATCGATACAAAAGGTAGCAGTTCGATTTTGACACTTCAACCTCACCTTTCAACTATAATTTCACCAGTCTTCGTTCTTAAAATTATTGACTTTGGATGTGTATGTATAGAAAACGAACTACTGCAGAGATGCTTTGCATCTTAATTATCCTGAAGCTTTAAAAAAATTGAAGGCCACAAAAATTTCTCTTTTTTAGACTCTATTCACATGTGAACCATGTATGACAAGAAAATTTGAAAAAGAGGAGTTTTTTTTCGACCTTGAGGCTTTTTCATAACGATTGAACAAAGATTTTCTGAGTTTCAGTTCTCAAGATCACTGTGACAGAAAAAGTAACATACACGTGCGTACGATGTAGCTAGATATAAAGGAAACTCGCGAAGGACTACATGAATATCATTATGACCTGGATTGATACGCTAAGTATAAAGATTTTTCTTGCAAGTTTTTTATTTTATACTAACAAAAAATAATTATTGACATTTATAATTGATGCTTCACTTAAATCCTCTTGGTCAATAGGTCAATCATCGCGACGAATACTGGTTTCATGTGTCGAGCTTGGATGACAGTATAGTGTAAAATGTAGAAGAGCATTTTATTCTAAATTTTGTTGAAAACAGACATCTGAAATAGATGTTTATCATATTATTATAATTATTGAACAAACCAAAACATTTAATTGATTAGGCCTCAATGATTAGAGAATTGTCTTTTTTTCTAATTTTGTGTGTTTTCTACTGTATTTCTTTTTTGATGATAGGAATCTATAGATATTGAATCACTGGATAAAGATCATTAAAAAAATTAAGCTCTGTAAATTGTTTTATTTGTTTTCATCTTATACTGTGTTTGAAGTATATGAGGAATTTTTCGAAGCTGATAATATGAGTAAGAACAAGTTAACCGAAACGTCGAGTGAGGTTTTGAAAAAAAAACTAATTTTGGATAATCTAGACGACACAAAGATTTATTGTTTTAGTAAAATGAATTTCTGCATGATTTCATTCAAATATATGTGTTTTCGTTTGTTGTTTATTATTTTCAGTTATCTTACTCGCTAAATTGTTCAAAGTTTGGAATACTAATGAGCAAATAGTAAAATATTTTCCAATATTTTTAGATAATACAATTAAAATTACGAAAAATACTCATAGATCTAACTGCTTTGATCTTTTATGAGAAAAATTCATGAGTACATATATAGCATGTGGATCAAGAAAAGTTTGAATAAATTGACGCAAATGTCAACAGTCTTATTATGATTGATCCTAATAATAATAAATCGTTTTTCTACGACATAAACAAAATAGTTCATGGTGAAATTCATCTGAAAATATCGTATGACGTCTTTTATTGTATAGACTTTAGAGAAAATATTCATCAAAAGTCTATCAATATCAGATCACGTTTTAAAAAACCGTCTTATTCTTAATCATAATAAGGAACCATTCTTGATTGCTATCAATGAGAAGGATGTATCTTCACTATGACGGTTAGATAAAATTTCCTTTTTACTTGAAACTTTGCCTATTCTTTATTGTGAAGTTTTTGAATACAGACAACCTCTGCTTGTGATCATTCTTGATGTGGTCAGATTTTCTTGAGTGTTGAGTATTTTTCAGGTGATTTCTTTTAAAGAATGACAATTTCAAAATGTATCAAGCTGTGTATTTTCTTGATTTTTCGATCAATCGTATGTTGTAATAAGACACGTTCTTATTATAATCGTTTCAATGTCATTAGCGATATATGCAGTGCTAAGAACTCGTTTAATAAAAGTTGGATGTGGGTGTGGGTGTGGGTGTGGATCTGCGTGTGGGTGTGGGTATGGATGTGGGTGGGTGTGACTGAGCATCAAGAGATAACTAACACCCACACCCCACACCCACACCCACATCCTCCTCAAGGGCTATGCTATGGAGATACCCATAGGTGCTCATGGGCTATCCTATAGAGGTATTCATAGGTCCTCAAGGGCTATCCCATGGATATATCCATAGGCGCTTAAGGACTATTATATGGGGATACTGATAGCCTCTCGAGGGCTATTATATGAGAGCACCCATGGATTCTGAAGGGGCGTCCTATAGATACCCATAGGCTCTGAAGGATATCAGACAATAATGGGATTAGGCTACAAGTGGTACAAGGGATATAAGGGTATAAGGATATAATGGTAGATGGACTATAAAAATATGTGCGATATAAGAGTATGAGGTCGTAAGGCTTTTGATCTATATACATAATATCGCGTATCTGTATGTCTGTTATCGAATGAAAAGTTAAACGTCTGAAGTCAATCGTTAAAGAAGAAACCAGCCGTGCAGTATATGCATGGGCTCTCGCTAGTACTTCATATTGTACTGTACAATATTTGAGGATCTCTTATTAAAATTTTGAAATTATTTTATTTCATATCATCAAAACTGTCAGAAAAGTAATAAAGATAATCAAAATGAAATGGTAATGTGTAAAAATCATTTTCATTCATTCCAAATAACAAATGATAACTAAATCAATATTCATTTTGAAATTGAGATAAAATAATATTATTATTTATCTGACTGTTACATATTTGAGCAAACAAATCAAATTGTTTTAGTTCTCTAATTAATTCTATAAGAGTTGTTGACGTTTTTATACTATTAAATGGAAATCCATCTATATGTCTGATAGACAAATTAATTAAATCGAATGATACTTAGGGCATACCAAAAGTGGTGAGAGCGACACTTTTTTACCCTAAAGTAGGCCTCAGGAAATTTTCTTTCTATACCATCTGATAGAGAAAAAGAAGCTCTATCTTTGTATGCTATTTAATCATACTTCAACTAATATTATAATATTAACTTATTTATAAAACCTATTTCGACACGATATGTGCTGGTTGTAATCAATGATAATTTATTTTTCAACATGTTTCGTTCCCTTTTTTTTCTCTTTATTCTTCATCTATCTTGTTTTTCTTCGTTTCTCTCTTCTTCTTCCTTGACATTTATTCATCGATATGTGTGTATATATGTGGAGAGAGACACATGTTTTTTTAGCTTAATGTGTATGATCAGTTTATCAGCGCATTCTTATAAAATTTAACATTATTTATCTTGGCTTTACATGGGAAAGGAAAAACTTTCGATTTTATATCAAAGTTCGCACTACACTTAATAATTATTCAATCGACCACCTAACTAGTTCTCAACGAGCAGAACGAGTTCGAATATGCAAAGAAAATTTAGCAAAATTCGAATCAGGTGCATGGCGACTATGTGATGTAGTAACAGGTGACGAGTCCTGATTCCACCACACACAGATTGGTCGAAAATCATCAAATTGTGCGTGGGTTACGAGAGACGATCTGCCACATACAGCGGTTAGACGTAGTCATTTTTCACCGAAAACCTTATTTAGCATCTTCTTTAAATTAACTGGTCCTGTTTTAATTCACTATGTGGAACGGAGAGACTCTATCGACCATCAATATTACATTGATTACTGCTTAAAAAATCACTCATTAACAACATCATGAAGCAAAGACCTTCATGTTGTGTACGAGGTATTAAACTTCATCATAATAACGAACGACCATATATTCATCAAGCGGTCTCGAATTATCTCGAATCTAAAGGCATCACAATAATCCCACACTCGCCTAATTCTTTTGATTTATCGTCATGTGATTTTTGGCTATTCGACCTCATTAAAGAAAATCTGAACGATCAAAACAACTCAGAATCGTTGTATCGTGCTGTGTCCATCTTCATGAAGTCTTTAAATGAAGAAGAATATAGAAAAACATTCGATAAATGGATTCAACGGATGCACTTGTGTGTGAATAACAAAGGTGACTACTTCGAACATTTGATGAAATAAAAACAGAGAAGAAGAATAAAGAGAAAAAAAGGAGATGAAACATGTTGAAAAATAAATTATCACTAATTACGACCAGCACATATCGTGTCGAAATGGATTTCATAAATAATTTAATGTCATAATATTATTTGAAGTATGATCAAATAGCATAGAAAGATAGAGCTTCTTTTTCTCTATCAGACGGTATACAAAGAAAATTTCCTGAGGCCTACTTTAGGGTAAAAACGCGTCACTCTCACTACTTTTGGTATTTCCTAAGTATTCATATCAAAAGCGTAAGGAATCTTTAATAAAAGATTTTCCTTTCAATACAATATATGATGCAGTGTTTTGAAAACACTTGATGACACCCTTGAGGTAGATCGATCAGCTTTCGAATTAATCACTTTAACTGTTTATAAAGGACTTTCTAAAGTACTAGAGTTTCGTATGCTACGGATCTTTATTACAGTGTAGCATGCTGATAAACACACATGCTCACCGTCACTGTCAATTTTTAACACAAAACTCAATCAAAAGTCTAGATAGCCATCGTAATAAGTTATCTTTCACTATTATTTATCAATTTGAAATGTACGTTGAATTGTATCATAAATTTGACTGTGGGGATGATGTGAACCACATTCTCCATTACAAATCTTAACTGTCACATTATATACACCTGGAAACCATTCTTCGCAAGGATCTATTGTTAAAAACGTTAATTTTTTTCGAAGATTCAAATCTAAAGTGATTTCTTACCGGTAGCAGATTCACAATCTGGATCGGGTGTCGTATCGAGACTAATACGCTCATCATATTTGCCTGGTTTTTTCGTTTCAATCAAGAAAAACGACGAAACTTTTATTCCGTCAATGGTTTCAACGTTAACGAGCATTTGACCCGTACCAGTTCCATTAACAGTTTGATAAGTCAAATCAAAGACAAATTTAGTATAAGCTTGTGCATGCGGTGGTGCAATAACAAATGATAAGAATTTAGCATCACCATTATCAAATACTAAATGAAAAGCAAAAAATAGTTTTCATTTGTGATAATTTAATAAGAACAACTATTTCTTTTACTTGGACATAGTTTTAGCGATTCGCAAAAATAAATTGGATCCAGATCAACATCTGTAGCTATCTTAATAAATTCGTTAATTCCGACAATGTCACAACCGATAGAACAAATGATTGATAAGTAAGGGTTTGTTGACTTCTGAGTAACATAATCGCATAGATCATTACATGTAGTTGCAATACCCAATTCAATAATACCATCAATCAAAAAATAGATTAACGTGTCAAATGTATCAACACATTCTGGACACCAATCAATGCCATTATTGTTTTGTTTTAATGATGGTGTCAAACGTTTAATGTACTTTGATGGAAGACTATCTTTATGTGTATGTGTAGCTATACCTCCAAAAACGAATAGAAAAATTAAACTCAGAACCTTGTACATCTTTTTTTTTCTATTGATAACATAAAAGAAAATATATGGTGTGCATCGACAATAAATACAGCAGCTATGAGAATGAAACACCTGTTCAAAATAGGATTTTTTTTTTTTAAGATAAATGACCGAAAAGCACGAAAAAGAAAATCAAGGTCCCTATTTTTCTTAATTTTGTGTGAAGTACTTAGAACTATCCAAAATGTTTACGAACAGATAGAGCGTCTTTGCCTAAATCTTTCTATGTTATTTGATCATTATCAAATAAGTAGTTTTTCAAAAAAAGGTAATAAAGCATCGAATAAGGGCCAAGCGAGTTTT